TTCCTGTATATTTCTTTTCTTTGGTTTTTTTCACTGTCGATTTATTCAAAATATTTTTAAACTCTGATATTTCAAATGAATTTATTTTAAACCAAAATTTTCTAAACCTCTACAATTCATCCTCTTCTTGTGTATTGAGTCACGTGTTCAACAATGTCACGCTTTTAACCATTTGATTTTATCTTTAATTTATAGTGTTTTACCTTATTTTGTCTATTTTACTTATGTTTTCTGTATTTATTTTTATTTTAGTTAATTTTTTAGGAACCAATGCCAAAACATAGCACTCAGAACTAAAAGCTAAAGTACATAAGAAAAACCAGAAGAAAAAAAACAGAGAATTTAGCACAAGGTAAGTGAAATTACGACCATCCAGTTACATGTGTTACGACCATAACCTCTCCCATGAAGCAAAGGGATTTTTTAACATGGCAGTGAATATTACGGCCAGCCTGTAACTAGAGTTACAAGTGTAATTCTTTCAATGAAAATTCTAACATTTAAAATCCCTCAAGTGTTTTCTTGCAACCATTCAAGTTCTTAACAATTTTCATTCATTGATAAGCCTCTATTATGCGAAGTTAAGCCTGACTTAATATCATTTAGCCAATATAAACCCTTGTAACTCTGATCAAAACACAAAGCAATTCTATAATTTATATTTTAGCACTTAGAAGTTTTCTGCGTTTTTATTTTTCTCTACAAGTGTATTTTTTCTGCTACTATTTGGAGCAATCTTGTATTGAATATTCATTGCATTACATGTTCCTTATTTGTCTTTATATATTTTCTTATCATGTTTATGCTTATATCAATTATTCTATATGTTTTTCTTATGAATATGTTTGAGAAAATTCATAAGGGTTTAAGATCATGAGTATTGTCCAATGATAGGTCTCATGTAGATCCTCTTTCAAGTTTACTAAGAAATATTCTATTTGTTTTAGTTTTCTATTTTAAACGCAGATATCCCTATGAAAGTAGAAATATCCTTAGTTACTAATCACATATTAAATGGGTGTAAGTTGGTATCTGAAGTAGAAACACAGCTTGAGGCGACGTAAGTGTCTCAAACATAAGTGAGAAAAGTTCCAATTTTCAAATAGATGCAGGGACGGAGCTAGTAAGAGGAAAGGGTGGGCCCATGCCCCCACTATATTAATCCTTGAATCATAACTTAATATTATATGGAATATATTAACCTATTTAATGTATTAAAAATTATGAAGAAAAACTAATTAATGCCCTCACTTAAAAAATATACTGACTATCACACTCATTTAAATATCTAATTAATTATTTTATTTTTCTTTGAAAAACAATTAATTTTATATAATAAATAAAATAAATGTTTTAAATAAAATTTAAAAAAACCTAACTTTTCCTATTCATATTCCTATTATTCATAATTCTCTTTGACTCTTTGCAAATACAAACAAATCACTTTTGGTATTCCTCTTTCTCTCACTTCTCTTTCTCTTACTGCAAAAAGTCTCTCTCTGTTACTAGCTTCTTCTCCCTCCATTGTTGATCTTTTAAAAGGTATTTTTTTTATTACATTATTGAACAAGAGATTATGTTAATTGTAGAAAAATTAATTTTAGAGTTTTGTAGTATTTGTTTGAATTTGTTATGTTTGTATCAATTTTATAGTATTATTGTGAATTTTTTAAATAGGATTTCAATTGTGATTTTTTTGTTTTGTTTTTATTTTAAAAGAAAATCAACCGAGCAATCACCAACTTCTAATTCTCAAACACCTAATGAAGGCCGAAGCCTCATACTGAGTCCTCCCATAAAAAAAAAGGTTTTTGGAGTTTGAATTGGAAAAACTTCCTAATGATCCTGGTTTAAAGCCAAAAATGCCAGATTATCATCCAAGTGATAGAGATGAAATTAGAAGATACTATTTGCAAAAGGGTCCTTATCAACCAAAAGAAATTATTTTTCCACAAAGAAAATTTGGAGATACCTTTTGTAAGTTTAATTTGAATTGGTATTTAAAATATGGTAGTTGGTTGGAATATAGTCAAAGTGAGGATTCTGCATATTGTTTATGTTGTTATCTTATGAGGTCACACGTTGAAGAACATAAAGGTCGTGGTGATGCCTTTATAACAGAAGGCTTTACAAATTGGAAAAAAAGTGAGAGGTTTCGAGTTCATCTCGGAGATGTAAATAGCTCTCACAATCAAGCATGGAGAAATTGTCAAGCTCTAATGAAACAAAAGCAACACATTGAAGGTGTCTTATGTAAACAATCCAATCAAGTAAAAGAGGACTATCGAATTCATTTAACAAGTATAATTGATTGCATTCGATATTTATTAACACAAGGTTTAGCTTTTCGTGGTAATGATGAGTCAATTTCGTCTAGAAATAAGGGGAATTTTCTTGCTAACCATATTGAAAATATTTATAAAGTTTGAAAAAATTGTCGTGGAAATCTTAAGTTAACATCTCCTGATATTCAAAAGGATATTGTTAAAGTTGCTACAACAGTCACTACTCAAGTTATACTGGATGATCTTGGAGATAATTTATTTGCTACTTTAATTGATGAATCTCGTGATATCTCAGTGAAGGAGCAAATGGTTGTGGTTATACGTTATGTAAATAATGAAGGAAAAGTTATTGAGCATTTTCTTGGTGTTGTTCATGTTTCGAAATATTAGTGCTCTAACGTTGAAATCGGCTTTGGAGTCATTATTTGAAAAATATGGATTAAGTTTGTCAAAGATACGTAGACAAGGCTATGATGGAGCAAGTAATATGCAAGGTGAATACAATGGTCTAAAAAGCTTGATTTTAAAAGAGAATTGTTCTGCATTTTTTATTCATTGTTTTGCCCATCAACTCCAATGAGCTCTTGTGACATTAGCAAAAAAGCATTCTAAAATTGATTTATTTTTCAATTTAGTTGCTAATTTGTATAATATTGTGTTAGCATCATGTAAGCGCCGAGATATTCTTCGCGAAAGTCAAGCTACAAAGGTGAAAAAAGCATTGGAACATGGAGAAATCTCCAGCGGGCGTGGCTTGAATCAAGAAATGACAATTAAAAAGGCGGGGGAAATAAGATAAAGCTCACATTATGGTACATTACTTAGTATAGTTTCTTTATTCTCTTCTATGATTGATGTGCTAGAAATGGTTGAGGAAGATGGAACAGATTAAGATAAAAAAGGTGAAGCACTAATGCTGGTGAATTATATGCAATCTTTTGAACTTATTTTCATCTTGCACTTGATGAAAATAGTTTTAGGAATTACACATGATTTATCTCAAGCATTACAAAGAAATGATCAAGATATTGTAAATGTTATGAAGTTAGTAAAAGTGTCCAAAATAAGGCTACAAGTTATAAGAGATAATGGTTGAAATTCTTTGTTGAATGATGTTTCATTATTGTTTGAGCATAATGATATTGATATTCTAGATATGGATGGCAATTTTCAACAGACACAAAAAAAAAGTCAAAGAGAAAAATGGAGAAAGTATCTAATTTACATCATTTTCAAGTTGAATTGTTTTATGAAGTGATTGATCGACAACTTCAAGAGCTGAATAACCGTTTTACAGAAGTGAATACAGAGTTGCTCATTTATGTAGCTTGTTTAAGTCCAAGAGATTCATTTTCTGCATTTGATAAGGAAAGATTGATCCGTTTAGCTCAATTTTATCCTTCAGAGTTTTCTCAAGTAGAATTATTGGCACTAGATTGTCAGCTTGATAACTATTTCTTAGATGTATGCTCTGACACTGAATTTTCAGAATTAGAGGGGATTGATGATCTTTCTATCAAGCTTGTAGAGACCAACAAACATGTTGTGTACCCATTGGTTTATTTGCTTTTAAAGTTATCTCTAATATTACCAGTGGCAACTACAATAGCTGAAAGAGCTTTCTCTACTATGAATATTATCAAGAATCGAATGTGAAATCACATGAGTGATGATTGGTTAAATGATTGTTTAGTTACTTACATTGAGAGAGATATTTTTGTTAATGTTGAAAACGAGAAATTCATTCAATATTTTCAAAACATGAAAAATCGTAGAGAACAATTATAATTTATATTTATATTTTATAAAATGAAATAGTATATTTATATTGACTCTACTACTCAAAATTTCTGTCTCCGTCCCTGGATATAGCCCTAAATATAGATATACCTAAGTCGATCCTAAACAAATATTATTCGCTAACAAAAGTAAATAGTTTGTTGGTTGGGATAAGATAATGTGCTAACAAACGTATGCATTATTTTTTTTTCCTATTTGTTTCGACAAAGTAATATTTCTCATAATAAGATAAAAATAAGAATCTATATGAGTTAGTTTATGATGGGAATTGCAATCCCAAATCATGCTATAAAATTCAATTTTAATTCAATTAAAAATTTGTTAACCAACATAAACGTTCATCTTAGATAAACATAAGAATATATAATTTGATAATCATAACGGTCTATGAGGACGATAATTTTTACTACTTTGATAGAAACCGTACACTTGTGGTCTTTCACTTGCACAAATGGTCAAAACCTATGAATACCTTAGTCATATGAAGAGAAAATCAATCACTTTTTACATACCACAACATAGAAAATCCTCTTGTGTATCTTATCACAATCGCAAGGTTCTCTATTATACTTATTACAAATATAATCTTAAATACATAATTTAAAAGTAGGGTAGACAATAATAATTATGGAGAAAATCAAAATAAAATATTTATTAACTTTCTTTACCTTATATTAAGTACCACAAAATTTACTATTAGAGTAACATAAATAAAACGTACTTGTTTTTAAATTATATTCTTTAGAATGATATTTATGTTAAAATAATATTTATTTTAAGACGCAGGGAATATACACTTTATAGAATTGAAAGTGACCCATGAATGAACATGATGAGAAAAAAAAAACTAAAAACTCCAAATATTTCTAAAAATAGAAAACTTGGCAAAAAATGAAAACAACTTCACCCATGACTTCAATCCCAAATAGGTACAGAAAAATCATCAGAAAAAGTGGCATAGAATTCAATTCCTTCAAACCCATTTGTCGGAGTTTGATGGTAAAACCAATCACTATCAGCCGAGTCAAGCAATACAAACTCAGCAGCAGCTGAGTGATCATCTTCACATTCTTCATTAATTTTAGGAAGTTCAACAATTTGACCAAGTTCTTCTTCTTCTTCCTCTTCAAATTCATCAGAACAACATTGTTCAGTCACATGCACGACAGGTTCGTCAAACTCAACCATAGCAGCCGCTGCTGTTGCCGCAGCTTGAATGTCACGTGGTGCTGACGTGGCAGGTATAGGAAGCATGTTGGAGATATTAGGAAAGTTGAGAATTGCGGTTTTGCCTTTGATGGTTAAAGCTGCTACGTCGTGTGCTCTAGCTGCAGCTTCTGGTGTTGAGAATGTTCCAAGCCAGATTCGTGATTTTTTGCGAGGTTCTCGAATTTCTGAAACCCATTTTCCCCACTCTCGTTTTCTTACTCCATGGTAGGTTGAATGTGGTGAAGAAGATAAAGAAGAAGAGGTCGAGGAGTTTGAGGTTGTAGTTGTTTCTGAAGAGGTTGTTGATGTTGTTGTTTTTTGTGTCATATTTAGAAGAAGAGAATGATTGTGAGAACATGTGATGATGTATGGCTAGTTGTTTTATACTAGTGATAAAGGAAACTCTCACTCTTAAAGGAACCTTTGACCTAACATTTTACATAAGACTTTTGCTTATATTTTATTTTAGAGAGAGTATATTCTTATTACCATATTGTGCATACATAGTTGAATATGTAATATGATTTTTTTGTTTTTTTTGCCTTAGACATATTTAATTCCTGTTTGTTAATATTTTTATATAGTTTTTCTTCAACCTCAAACCTCTAACATTTTGTTATTGATTAATTTTTCTAATAAAATATCATTTATTTTATTTGTACTGTTAACTTAGTTTATTACTATAGTATGGAAGGGTTATGTGTTAGCATGAAAAAAAATAAGAAATATAGTATTCTTAAATATAAATATGTGTAAGAATTTATATGGAAAATATTGTGTGGGAGTAATTTATATTATCAATCTTTGGAATTTGGATACGACCCTTTTGAAAGATATTTTGCTAAGTTGTTATTGTTCTAGAAAAAAAGTTACAAGGGTGTGTGTTACTTCTGTAAAGGTAGGGGTACTTAGAGGTCTTAGTAGATGTATAAAAAATCGTGGTAGTTAGGGCTTATCTATTGCGACGAGAAATCATGTACTGTGGTGTTTACGGTGGTTTGGACAACCTACTCACGTGAGATGTGAAACTATGTATATGTGTAGGATGCTTAGATATAAGCGTGTGAATTAGGATTTCTCCTTTCTCCCTTTAAGAAATACGTATTATAGAATCATTTTGGACCTAAGGTTTAGGAAATTCTTAGGGGTCCCTCGTGACTAGGGAAGATTGTTGACCACATATCTTCAAGAAATCATGGTCGACTTCCTCTCATCTGGCTAACGGGAGACAACAATATTGTACACGTCATCGGCCCCAAGGTCGAGCCCCTTGTTCTATGTGGATGTCGCTCAAGCGACATTACTCTTAAGAGGGGACACTAGAGTCGCCCTTGTTTTGGACTCTCACAAATATAACACTACAGTTATTATGATCCTTGTGTTGAAGTTAGAATTAAAATTTAAAAAGATTGAATGTTGTTTTATGAAAATGAATTCAATACAAATGATGGCGCGTTGGAGGAGTGTAAATTCTACAATGCACTAAGGTATCATTTTCATGATGATTTGGTTGACCATAAGTAGGAAAAAAAGTATCAAATAAGTCATTGTTTTACGTACCAGTAATACCAAGACGTAGAGGATGTTTGCATCAATGCAACATGTTGGCCAAATGACATGGCATTATCATAATAAAATAAATTCAAGTATGTTGCAGCGTCCTTGTAATAGTGAGGCATAACAGCACACCGATTGCTCATTCATCCAATTAAATTTGCAATAGATCTATGAAATGTGAGACTTGAATTATGATCTAGTGACATTACTCCGTATATCCAAGCATTAATAACACCTTATTCTTGTTAATATGATATTGTTACCCCATATAACCTTCCTCTTAAGATGTGTATATTAAAACCTAACATGTTATGACTTGTCCTATATCAGGACCTTTTGATCCAAAAAATTACTTAGACATTATCTTGAAGTTACACCATTGAAAATAACCTTTCTAACAATATACTTAACACATTGGTGAAAAGATTCGATAAAACAAAAGATAAGAAGAAGATTATAATTAACGTGGAAATTATTGTAATATATCAAACTTGGAGAGACAATCTCTTCCAAATTTAAAATTATAAATAACTAAGGTCAGTTATACTTTAGTTGTAGATAGGAATATAAATGATTCAATTTGAATCAAACTTGGTTTAGCTCAACTCGAATTGATAAGATTTTAGCTCGAACTTGTTTCGATCAAAGTTCACGAGTAAATCAATTCGATAACTTAAACTCGGTCTGGCTCAATAACTTAAAATAGAATATAAAAAAATTGGAACAGTTAGGGAGAGAAAGAGAAGAAAGGAAGAAGAAGAGAGGATTGTAAGGACATTTTTCATACATTACAAGAAAATGTCAAGGTTTTTAGTGATTTAACCCCTTTCAAAACACAAAAACTCCTAACATCACATGAAAATCTGAAGGGGTGGTAAATCCTCACAAAAAAGTATTTGCAAATTTTTTACTAGAGGTTAAACCCTTAGTAACACATAACCATATAGCATCGTAAAGTGCAAAAGTGAACAAAATGATGTGATATTTTTTTCTATGAAAAACCCCTAATAATGAGGTGTTACATTTTAAAGTTTGTGGAGGATATCCTCTGTCAATATTTTAAAATATTATATAAAAAATATTTATTATAATTAAATTATTATAAATATTAAATTAATATATATTTATTTTAATATTTATAATAATATAATTATAATAAATAGACACGACTATAATAAATACAATTTAAGCATTTACTTTTTTATAATTTATAAATATAAAATACAAATAGAATTTAAAAAACTTAAAATAAATATTTCTTAATAAAATTTCAAATAAAAATAAAGATTTTAAATATTAAACAATTATCATATAATCAATTATCTGAGTTATCCCTCCTCGCTCTCCTCTTCTAAAACATACTTGTTTACTGCTCCTTGTTCGCCAACTCCTCCAAATCCTCATGCTCCCCTATATCCTTCGAAACCTCAATATCAACCTCTAGAAGTTTGGTTCATCTGTGAGAAAATAAACTTTTTCAACTTCTCCGAATGTTGTTGTGCAACTCACAATGCTTCCTCAAGCTCTATTTAGTTTTTCACATTTCACCCATCTCAGTCTTTCTTCCCGCTCTGTGTGCTGCCTCGTTCTCTTCTAAATTTCTCACATTTGTTGCTATAGAAGTTGTCTTAACCACCCTTTATTATTCCTTTTATGAATACATCAATATTTATAATTTTATCCCTTATGTTCATGTTTAAGTGTTAAATTTATATTCGTTCATAAAGTATGTGTGTCATTTATTTGTGTCATTTATTTGCATGTTGATTAGGTCCTTCATATAATCTTCTTAAATGGTGTGTTCCTAGAGTTTTTGCAACAATGTATGATAATTGTTGCTTGAACCATGCCAAAAAAATTAGATGTGTATGTAACTAGTACATGCTTGTTCGCCCATGTTTTGAAAATAATAGGTATTAAATTTCCTATATTGAAATATAATATAAGTTACAAGGTATTAAGTGTTATATCCAAGGCGTTTAAAATAAATATTTACTTAATATACTTACTTAAGATATAGTTTAACTTAAGCGCAAATAATCAACACATGAACATGAGCATATTGACTTATTTCACTAAAGTCAATTTCGTTCTTTATGATTCTTAGAGTCGTCATCATGTGATTGAAATAATGAGAGAGAAATGTGATGTTTCTCGATGCAAGTAATGTGCAAAAATGTGATGTTTCCCGATGCAAGTAATGGTTCTGGAATAAGGCAGGTCAAAAACATATATGGTTTTCACATGCACATTTCACAAGGGAGATTGTAAGGGGTAACAAAAAAGATCGTAAGGGGATTATGCAATTGTTGAGGCTTGGATATATAGTGTAAACCATCAGAGCATAATCCATGTTTAACATATCTGAGTTCTGCAGAAAAGTGTTTATATGCTTCACATTATGTGGATGTCACATCATGCCTAATCTGATTTTATTTGTATGATGCCATGTGTAACACCCCAATTTAACCATTCACTTATTTAATTAGTTATTTGATTTAATTGAGTGATTTATTTAAATAATTATTTTGCGATGTGTGACATGTTTGGCCGGTGACGACATTTGTGGTGTTTGTGCTAATTTAATTAGTTGGTGAGAAGTGGCCCCCTAACCCTTATTGCCTCAATTAATAACTCCAACCAAGGGGAAAATGAGAGATCTTCCCTCGATTAACCTCTCAACTAGTGATGACAACGAACCAAACCAACTCGAAAATAGTTTGGAACTCGATTCGATAATTATTTTATTGACATTGATTTATGAAACTAATGAGCTGAATATGAGCGAAAAACTAAGTTTGTTAACTAAATGAGTTGAACTTGAACTATTCATAGTTCGACTCATTATATTGATGAGTCAACTCAATTATATATGAGAAGAATTATATTGTCTTTAAAAGTAGGTTTAAAAACTTAATATAAATTTTAACCTTATATTTTATTTTAATCTCGGCTTTAATTGATAATTTATATTCTCAAGTGAAAAAAATATTTTTAGAAATAATTATACAAATAAAATTAGCATCATATAAATTAATTAATTTTTGAAAGTAGATTTTTGAAACAAAGTTAAATTTCAATCTAATAACTTTTATTTTATTTCAATACTTTATTTTTAAAATAATATTAATTTAAAATGTCAAATATATAAAAAATAGACTTTAAAAAATGACTTTTAAGTCCGTGAAACAAACAAGCTGAACCTAATGAAATGAATCTAACGAGTCAATCTAAATTGCTCGTAAACTTATAAGAAGTCGAGTTTGAGATTAAAAAAAATTCATGTCAAATTCGAATCAATATTTAAACTGAACCAATTCTTAATGAATTGAGCCGAACTGAAGCGAGTTCAGGTTGACTCGGCTCATTTTCAACCCTATTCTCGACCAAAAAGAAAAATGATGTACTTTTCAATTTTTCGCACCAATTCAAAGAAAAAACACTGACACAATTTTTATGGCACCCAACCAAGATAAAAAACCATCTTCCAATAGTGATAAGAAGTTTGTTTATTAATTTATTTATAATAGTGCAAATTAAGTGTTAATGAGATGAGATCTCTTATGACTACTTTTCTTGTCTCTTTTTAGCATTATTAAGTGATAATGTAGGAGTACCATCTATTAAGATTTAGTTATTTATTTTCTTATCTCATGTAACCTAAAACAAATAAATCGGTTTAGTTATATTACAATCACAACTGGCTCGTGCTAATATTTTATAGTTACTATTTTGTTTGTTTGACAAAAGTCTTATTTTGTAGCTAATGG